TCTCAAAATCTAAAAAAAAGATTTCCTGCCTACATAAGGATTAAAATCTACATGAAAAGGTTTCCCTACTTGTTAGGTCGCAAAAATGGAGAGTAACGGGTTTTCCTTACGAAAGCATAGAGTTTTCCATGAACTATTTCTGCAGTGATGACAATGATGCCCCTTCATCCTAATTCCGCTGAAGTATAAAGTTCAAAAGGAGCGAGTCCCCTGACCGTAGATTATGGCGTGTTAGAACCGCCTATAGACGAGGTCTTTTCAGCTGGGCTCTTTAAATTGCTGCGAACGCGTCAGTTTTGTGACGTCATTCTTGGCGGATTTGTGCTTTTCGTGATGAATCGGTTCCATAGGCGGGACGAGCATCTCGCGTCCTCGGCGTTCATCATTATCACCATGTCCGTCAAGATCGATTGAAGTCGCAAATTCAGTGTCGGTCCATGTTCTCGAGTTGCATCTCTTCGTTGTGGTGATATTTATCCATTGACTGATGGCGCCCTTTCATTATAGATCGTCCAGTTTCTCCAGAGACTAACTAGGTATTTGAGGATGTAATTACTGCAGATTAGTGGTGAAGGGTTTCCTATTTGGCCCACACTGACAGTGTCAAGTTACGAAGTCGTTGACCACTCCGTAACCTTACACAAATAAAGGTTACTGGAATTTGATGCCTTAACTATGCAAACACTATACGAACAGGAGTTACGTGCTGCGGTTTTGCTTCCAAGGCTGCTGCTTGCCCTGCTTTCAACAAAAGTTGATGTCGAACGGAACCTTTGACACTAACGGTCTCATTTTTGAAGATTTTCCGTAAGATTTGCTTTGGTATTAGTCACGTTTTCCAACATCGAGTTCAAGTTCAACACCATTGCATTATTGTGTTGTTGCATTATTCACCCCTTTTTCAAAAAAAGGGCGGAAGTGGTGTAGTGGCAAGTGGCACGCTTACCACGCGAGCGGTCCGGGATCAAATCCTGGGTCGTGAGTCGCCCGGGCCAACCAAGCCTTCCATCCCTCCGGGGTCGGTTAATTGGTACCAGACTTGTCTGGGAGGATAAAAACACTGACTTGTACATCGGCTGGCCCCCGCAAGTCATTGTATAGGCCACATCGCATTCAAACGCCACTACGAATGTACAAATGGAAGTAGAATGCGTGCCGCATCCCAAAAAGGGATTGATCAACGGCAAATGCTTTATCCTTTTTTATCCTTTTTCGAAGGACTCGCTAATAGTTAGCTGGTTATCGAGAAAGCTGACTACATTTTTATCATTTTTGATAATCACCGAAGAATTCCGCTGAAAACCGTCTCGTGTATATCCTTTGCCGATTACGTGAATGGTCTTTCATATTTTGGAATTTTTATAGCAACGCAGAAATAATGCCACGACTTCCTTGCTAATGCCTTAATCATTTGTTTGTGATATTGTTTTGCGCGAAGGGGATATCCTGTATTTTGAAATGTGATCGGTATTGGTCGCAAGTAGTGGCGCTCTCTTCCATTAGTATGCGAAAATCGCAGATGCCCTCGATAGTCGCCGTCGTCGTGTTTGCTTGGTTTCCGCTACGATCTTGTGCACGACCGAAACGAATCATTGCATCGTGCCGATCGCTTGCTCTTGAATCTGCTTGAACATATCGACTGTACTTTCAAAATAGGTTCATCGCGTTTTTAATGAGCTATGTTCCTTTTACATTTTTCATTGGTACTGGTTATCATTGTGATAGCGTTGGCACGAAGTGTCGCAGGTGGGGGTCTTTTTTATGAGTAAGGAATCTCTAGGTAAAAGTTCTTGCTGCAGTTTATCCTTGAATTTGAAGATTGGGTAATCAATGGGTTTTATTCAGTCCTACGAAGAATTCTGAAATTTTCATAATGTGAGCAAAATTGTTTTCTTATTTATTTACTGCCCATTAAGGCCTTTATAGGAGCACTTTGCTCGGGTAGTTCTAAATACCACCTTAAGTGTATGGTAACTTCTTTCCCCCAATTGTTACATGTCATCACAGCAGGAACCCTGATAGGTGCCCAGATGCCGAAGTACAAAGGCAAGGGTCAGCTCAAGACAATACCTGTGTCGCTGGGTTGCGGCTTAGGCGTTGGCCACTCTCCTGGCAGCCCATTTAAACATTCTGTTTTTGGTTTTGGATACGTTATATTTTATTTCAGTGTTAGTTTTCTGTCATTTTTGGGTTTCTTCGACTTCTCTTCATTTTGGATAGAACGAATAGGTTCCATATTGTTAAGTTCTATTTCTATTTTGCGCGATGCACTTTTCAAGGGGTTTTGGAGCGTCGGAGGTATTCTCCTCGTTTCCTTCAGGATTTTGGTGGAGCGCGTTTGTTTCAACAGTTACTCAGGACGAAGTAAAATCGTCTTGTGTAAAATTTTCTCGCCTTGTCGTTATTGTTTTGTGTCTGCTGGTTGTTGACGCTTTTTGCGATCAATCGTCCGAGCGACATGGGAAACAATCACGAATGTCATCGCAGCATGCCTGTGGCGAGATTGTCTTTGCCGTGACACGGCAGATGTCCACCACGCTGATTTGAATTGGAAATGTCGCGCGTTTTTCTGCATTCCGCGAGTATTTCGACCCAAGCACATACTGCAAAAAATTGCCGTAATTCAAATATTGTAATAATTCTGGTGGTGCAAGGAGGGTCGATTTCTGTGGAATATGTGAGCACTGCAATTTAATCTTCTAGTTAGTTAGTTAGTCTTCAGGGTATCTTGACTGGGTTATCAGTTAAATTGCGTGGAATCACAATGTGTGAAACAGATCGGTGGGATTAGATGATCACCAGTGAAATGGTTAAGCGAGCGTGATCGTTCAATCTCGCTGTTCACGGGTGAATGCCCAGTTACGTCGCGATCTGATGGTAGCGCACAGCGTTAAAAGGCGAGCCGTCTTTGCGCTCTCATCGCCGGTGGTCTGCCATAGCCCTCACTCCGTCAAAAGAAGTGCTATCACCCGATAGCGAGCACATTACGCCTCATTTGAAATTGCGGCAGAGATCAGAGATGTTTCGATTGCGCAAATTGGCCACCGATTAGCGATTTCTAATCTTCACCACCAGTCGTTCTGGCAAGATCTTGTGATCGTGGTCTCCGGTTCTTGAAAATCTGTAAGGCTAGCACTTGCTCGGTCTTGGTGAATATCGTGTCTGGTCGTTGCGTGGTTCGTACACCTTTGCGGTGCTGGTTCTCGACGTGGTCGCGTCTATCTTGTAAACATGCTGCCTCTTTTATGAGTTTGTGTCTAATCTCATTAAGCGTCGTGCCGGCTCACTTTCATCTCGCCACGGGTCTGTAATTAGAAACAGCTGAGGTCATCCAGATATGAGTTGCAACAACCCACACTCATGTGCCTTACCCTTACCTACCTGCACCTGCCCGTAGCACCTCAAATTTATCGATTCGTTTCATTGATGATAATCTTTAATGACATCTGATAATTGCATTACTTGCTGCCTAGAGCAAAATCTTAAGAGTAGTTATGCAAAAAAGACATCATTCTGTCAGCTCATTCCTCTACCTCGGATGTTTCACTTCCTTTCTTTACCTCACCGTCATTATTGAAGCTGTCAGTCATGTAATAGGAAGGGGTAGTGCTGTGGCGTTGATGTTTTTCTTTTTCGAACGGCGACGGGGGGAGGGGAGGGGGGAGGTTTGCGTCACGCATGTGCCTTCAGGATCGTAGTGGATTCTGAAGGTGTATGCTGAAGCTTCACTACTACCAACTGCAACCACAGCAACTACATGAGATTGTCGACGTGGAAGGCAATGTTCTTTATTGTTTTAGATGGGTCTAGTGCCAATTACTAGACATAGTGGAGGCTTGATTGGAGTGAAGGGTACTGTTCGGGATTTATCCGCAAATTGCACGTGTAAGAAAGCACCTCCCCCTCCTTCTCCTCCTGCCTGCGGTGTTGTTTTTTCTCGTCACTATCAAAGTCAAATGGTCTGTTATGTCTAGAGCACAAGTCATGACTTCGAGAAAAAATCTGCGAAACAAGGAATTTGCTGATTCATTCAAATTCCGTTACAGCGGCTGATCTGTGGCGAATTAGTCGAGTCCTTTTGTTTGAGTGTGGTGAGCTGTGGGAGGCCTTAGTTGAAGCGTTAAGTCTTGTGTTTACTATACGGCTTACCATAGTGTTTCTCCTTCCTTGTCATGTTTGAATTTCCCGTTGTGCTTGTGGGTGACCCAGTGCACCACAGGCTGACCTTGATAAGGCTTTGGTTTTGTTTTCACCTTCCCTCTTTTTCAAAAAATTTTCGTATTCTGTGCTTTTTCAGGGAATCGTTGGTACGACGTCGTCTGGTAAGACCTCTCTCGTCCATCGATATCTCACAGGAACTTTCACAGCAGAAGAGAGTCCAGAAGGTAGTGTTTTTTCTGGTTTTTTGCGTCCACAGAATAAGTTTAACAATCAAGAAACTTTTGTATGGGCGCGCGAGTGCTCTTTGTTGTTCTTCGCGTCGTGAGAAGGTGAGGGATCGAGTGCGCAGAATCGTTTCCCATGGGCTGTAAACTGATTTGTCGCTTGTCAACTCGGGTCAGGGATGACAGGGGTCGTTTGGGGTCAGGACAGGGCTCCTGAAATTTGAAATAGCCCTTCGACCATCTTCAGTGAATCTATATAACAGAATGAGGTATGTAGAGTGTATTCCATTCATACCGTATTCTTCCGATTTTCGAAAGCGAATATTTTGAACTTCGATTCCTAACAAGGACCACCACTGGCTGTGGACGGGTCGTAGATGTCGTTTCGAAGGTAAAATATGGCTGTGGCTTTGAAACATTCGTAGTGGGAGGCGAACAGCTCGTTGCGCTTTGTCGTGCTTTATGGGACAACAACTGTCGCCTAGAGTAACCGGTCAACGTCTGTTTGCGAGGGTTGCGAGAAAATGATGACTGACCGGCGAACCTGGGCTTTTCGCGACCTCATGTTTGGTAGGCTGTAATGTTACGATGCATGTCTGTTGACTGTTCTTAGGGCCAATTGCAAGTTTTCTGGTGGATTCGTTTCAGAATAGGGTTTTCATCGACGGTCTAAGCCATCTTCTGCTGATTCGCGACGAAGGCAGCGCTTCACCTGATGTTCAGGTTCGCTTTTGCTCACGAATAAAACTATTTTGATAGTCGCTAAATTTTCTCGTCTTTTCTTTGCTAACCAAGCTTTTATTCCTTTTCCACCCCCTCCACCTCTTCCCTGTCTTCCATTAGCAGGTCTACAGTAGAGCTGAGACGTTTGCCCGTTTTTTTCTCTACACATTGTAATGACTGACATGTAAATAGTACCTGAAGAGGTGCTCGGACCTGGCTTAAGCGTCTGCGAGCAGATGGTGTAATTGTGGTGGTGCCAATGTCAAGAACGGATCAAGATCTCTTGGCGTTTTGTCGTCCCTCTAGACCCTTTCCCTCCATATCCATCTGCTTCCTCCTATTTGTGGAACATCTCACGTAAGATGAGATGGATGAACTGTTAACATATGGTCTGATGGCTGCGCATGAACTTGGCTGCCTTATGACTTGGTTTTTTCTATAGGAGGGCCCGTAATGGTCCGCTGAATTCGTTTATTTGCCTACAAGTTTTACAGTTTTAGGGGTTTTTATCCCATCCGAGGCCTTTCCTGCAATTATTACACTGCAATGAATTTGCAAAGTTCGAATTTTACCTTATCATTAAGAAAATCGTCGGGAATTTCAGTTCTCGTTGTGGGCGGACGCAGTGATCTTTGTGTACAGTGTCGACAACCAAGAAAGTTTTGAGCGGATTCGACATTTCTACAATCATATGAACAAGTTCCGAAACGTTGCCGATATGCCGGTGTTGTTAGTCGGCACGAAGGTTCGAATTGTTTTTGAATTACATTTGTAATTAGGAATTTTTGGCTTTTCTTTTTTATGACCTCTCAGTTTCACTGAGTTTTGAATATGTGGTTACGATTTTTGAGAGAAGGGAGTTCTACTCTACCCGCTATTTGTCGGACAGATGTCCCACTGGACTCATAACAACTAAGGACCACCTTGACGTTACTTAATTAGAGGCTTGTTTCGGATACTCTTTCGGAAAAGAATCCACGAGTGATTAGCGAAGAAGAGGGCAAGCAGATGGGCGAACCATCTGAAGACGTTGCGCTATTAACGAAGACGTGTGCGACGTACTATGGTTGAATGTTGAGCGGGTGTTCAAAGATGGTAAGTTTTCCTCTGAGAATGTTGGTAGAAACTATCGGTCATTTCCTGATACAAGGCTGAATGTTCACTTCGCTGTCCAAACAGCAGAAACAAGACAAGGTGAGAGCGAGCAAATCATAGGAGAAGCTTTTGTTGTGGCTTTCCTTTCTTCTTTGCTAAAATTTGTGAAAAGTGACTTATTCCGCTTTACTAGGGATTCGCCCAAACTAGAAGATCGATCGGATTTGTCGACAGTTATCATTTTTTGAGAACTCTCCTTAAAAGTGTTGTGAATAACAGCAGAATTCATTTGTTTCTATGGCAGCATAGCGTGGTGTTTCTCACGATGTATGTGTTATTGCTCTGATTGATGCGACGTATTCCCCTATAAACAGGTTTCCCATTTTGGCTCTTATAACAGTGGTGGGAAAGCCATGCTTGAAGCAGTTTGTTATGAGGAACTGGGGCACGCATTTTCCGCTTTCTAAATCCACTTCAGTGGTGTATCAGTTGTCGGTCATGTGCTAAGGGTCAGTCATATTGAATTTAGAGTGCGTATTTCTACTCTGTTGAGTGGTTTCCTGACCCCCCCCCCCTCCGTGCCAATCCAGCTTGATATGTGTTGTTTTGCTCCGTGGATGATGTTTTCTTGAGAGTGTTTGTCGTTTTTTGTTTGCAACAAGTTTTACACTGTCTCGCTGCTTGAAATGCGACGCAAATGTCTCCAGCTTGTTTTGAGGACGAACGAAGAAAGACTCTGAGGGAGAACGCGTCATCGCTTTCCACTCCGTGTTTTTCTGTGAAGGAGCGATTATTTGATTGATGCAGTCCCTATTTTGCCTCTGATCACCATTAGTCTTTAAGTTCACTGCACGTCATTGGCCCCTACTTAGATGAGGTGTTTTCCCTCAGTTTCACAGGGGCACATTACGTGATTTTCTAATGCAGTGGAGCTCATAGAGATCGTGTTCCATGGTCGTCGTAACCGGAAACGGATTTCATGTGCTATTAGTTGGCTGAAACGGGCGACAAATCTACTAAAGGCTGTCGAGCGTGTGTGAGTCATTATGTGTGGGAGATTTGCTAATGCGTAGAGTGTGTGGAGGTGGGCTGGTGGTGCTGCTGTGGCATTAATACGACTAAGTGCTCTTCATCACGTCGCCGGCTGCACCAGCTTCGTCCTTATTCAATTAATTTCTTTCTGGTGATGCAATTATTTGTGAGGATTTTTTTTCATAAGCCTGACTGTCAAGCTATTTTAACATTTGTCACGGTCATAATCCTTGATCAATTGTGTGTGCGCTTTCCTTTCAGCCTCTTGCGTTTCTTTCGGCATGACTCATCCGCAGTCCCATCACCACACCTTGTGCCTGTGTCTTCCACAGTCTCGCGTCTGTAGCAATGTGTCACACCGTTAATCTCTTCCACTGAGGGCGAGTACATGGCTGGTACTAAGCCTTCTCTTTTGGTTTTTGGGCGACTTCGAATTATATCCGGTTTAAGAGCGCTTCAATATTGGCGCGGTCGCCGTTGCCTCCGATTAGCTTTCACGAAGTCACGGCGGCCGTTCGTTCGTGTAGATAAGTAGTTCCAGTTTTGTGTTCCATTCATGGCTGCCCATTCAGGCTTTCCCGGCCAGCACGCTAACATAATGTCCAACTACACACCTACATTGACATCGCTTTCAATTGCTGTGAAGTTATTGTACTTCTGCCCCTTTTGTCCAGATTTGTCATCTGAACTGATCTCAATTGTAGCTGTTTCGTGAGCTATCTGATACTGGGGTTTGTTTGATTGTCGCGGCGTATAATGGCGAGAGCGGTTCGTCTAGTTGGGTGTGACAAGAGCGATTTGTCTGGGTAGTCGTCGTGTTGTTAGTTTGCTGGCGACAATGATGTATCACCCTTCCTTGTGTTGTGCTTCTCAATGTACTGCGTTGAAATAATCCCCCAAGGATACGGTTGGAGACGCCTATTATCATTTCCGCTTAACCACAATAACTGCATCACCGATCGCCTTGTTTGAAATTAAATTCTGCTGGTCGCCTTTGAATAATCATGATGTGTTATAAGTATTGTTCTCAAGGTTCCCGCATCTATGACCACAAGAAATTCAGGTACCTTTTTTTTAACAGCCCTGTCTCTAGCCCTGTTTTGGAAAGATATGAATATCGCTGGGCTATTTGTTGTGCTCAAAGGCACAAACCAGGCAGAAGTGTAACCGATAGGATAGTCTGTAGGATAGACCCCTAGAGGACAGTCACTGATCTGACATTTCTGTGCACGGAACCAACCCGACAAGACAAGACAGGCGCTAGGGCCTTGCAAAGTGAGCTGCTGCAGCTACATTTTTTCCTTTTACGGGGCTGTTTTCTGGCACCTCATTTGTTGCGCTCTCTCGCATCATGCTCTCCTCTCCGCGCTTAGTTTCTCATTATCTTAGCACAGGCGATTTCGGAAGATGAATAAGTTCTTGACCCGAGCATTTTCAACGGATTCTTTTCCTTTTTCTTGTTGACTGCCGTCTCACTTCGCACCAATACATTCGTGTTCATGTGCAAGAACACACACATATGATCCTGGGGCCTGCCTCAATTGTTCCCCTCCTTATAGCTTTTCACATGACTTGCTATTCGATTTGGTGAACGTAGCATCTAGCTGTTGTTGGTATTCTCGCCTCAATCATGTGAAGGAGGCAAAAACCTACGAGCACTTTTTTCAGACAATTTCAACACAAAGCTAGGGCATAAAAACATGATGTCTTCATATTGGCCATCGGTATCGTTCAAACATCGTGAAGAAATCCATTTGTGATACCCATTTTGTGGTGTGCGAAATGCGCGTCCATGAAGAGCAACCATACGCGAGCAATGTTTGTTCAGTGAGGCGGGAAAGTACTCGAAATTCTGCGACTATTCGTTGTCACATGCTTCATTTCAACGAGCGTAGGTCTTGTTGAGATTTCTAGGCCTTCAAAACACGAAAGTGACGTTTAGAAACGCAGGCGTTCAATCCACCCTACTTATCGTCTTAAGAATAAAGTCGATAAGGTAGATAATGCCGTCGATAACGCCCTTGGAAAAACTCTGTTCTCTCCCAAGTGACGTTTTCTCACAATAGTTGGAGTCTATGAGGGTGCTAGTTGTACATTCTCGTGTGCATTGTGATTTATTTCCTCTTAATATGGAAAATTTTGGAGATTTCTACCAAAACTTGAATTTTGTCCAGTTTTCACGGACAGATCGCTTTCTCTTTTCGATTTTGGACGAGATTTTACAAAACAATTCGTCTTCTACCTTTGGTTCTCCTTCTCTTAACAATGTCGATCTAAAGCGCTTATCCTGTGTAGAATATTACATTATTGGGATGAGGATCACTGTTCAGCGCTCCCAGTCATTCTTCTGTTTGACAATCAGCACGTATCATGGTGCCAGTCACACAGTTTGAAAATGCAAACAAAGCCAAGCGACGTTGCCTCATCCAATTTCGTTCTCCAGCTGCCTATTGATTTGAAATACTTTAAAATCCTCAGAAACGAATTTGGTCTGTGCTCTGTTTTGAATCTGATATATTTTATTGCAGCCTGCTGTAAAATTCTCCAACAACGTCTCCGGTCATCGTTCGGAGGTAGCACGCGAACGCCGACGCCGACCACCCCAGCGGCTCCTGATAAAAGGGACTATCAGGTGGGTTCTCCATCCGTTCGAAGCTTTTCCTCCAGTTCCTTTTCCGTTGCCTAGCTTTTACGTGTGTTTTTAGGATCCGCGGTATATGCAAAACGTACTCTACGGTGCTGCTCCTCCTCCTCAGAAAAACGCCTATCACCAACGCTCGATCTCTTCAGCTCCGTTGGCGGATCAGTTTATGAGTAGTGCCTCGCGCAAGAGTCACGTGCATCAGAGGGACGCTATCGGAGTCGTTAGCGGTTAGTTTGTTTTGATTTGAGAGTTGGAAGTTTTTCGCTAGACATCAATAAGCTTATCGAGCGCAAAGGTCGGATTTCGAAGGTGGTTTATTCGACGTCAACCTCATCTAGCACGTTGATA